ACCACCTCCTTGCCATCTCATCGCTACCACCACCTCCTTGCCATCTCATCGCTACCACCACCTCCTTGCCATCTCATCGCTACCACCACCTCCTTACCATCTCATCGCTACCACCACTTCTTTATCACCACCGCCTCACCGCTGCCCCCCTTCAGCTAGACGGCGCCTCCAGTTCGGGATCACGAAGAAGCAGCTGATGCTGCAAGATAAGCCATTCCTGAAAAAGATAACGCTCAAGGGGGACTTCCTCAGGAATGCAAACTTCTACGATATCAGCCAACTGCTAAGAGCTCATGCGAGCACCCTAGAAGAGTTGCACGTCCATGGACTGAACGATGTAAACTGTCCTCTCTTTATTTATTCTCATCATGGCATCCTCTTCGAATTCCTTTCGAAGGAGGTCCTTATGAATAATCTATCTGTCCACTGTGTGAAGAAAAGTAGCTTGAGGTATATTCAAGACTTGCTGTTGCAGCGGGGTGGCGGTCGGAAAGGTAGGCGGCGGGAGCGAAACTCGCCCCGGCTGGAAAGGTCCCCCCCTGGGGAGGTATCCCCAACGGAGGAATCACCCGCGCACGAATCACCAACCGAGGAATCACCAACCAACGAATCGCCAACCGACGAATCACCAACCGACGAATCACCAACCGAGGAATCACCAACCGAGGAATCACCAACCGAGGAATCGCCAACCAACGAATCACCAACCAACGAATCGCCAACCGACGAATCACCAACCGAGGAATCACCAACCGAGGAATCACCAACCGACGAACCACCCCGTGATGCTCCCACCCAGAGGGTTCCCCTCGGGAGAGACAAAAAGGTGCACCTCCTGTGCGAGCACATCGGCGTCGTATACGATGTGAGAAAAAGTTGCTTCGAAAGAATAAAAAACTACAAGCCGATTCTGCATCTAAGTAATTACATAAGCAGTCTAACCAGCTTGCGGGTTCTGAACCTCTCAGGCATTCAGAGCTACGACCTGATAGAGATGCTCATCTCAGTGCATCTACCGTCTTTGAAAACGCTAAACATTTCTTGCTACGATTACTTCTTCTATTTTTATCATATGGTCGTCTCCATCTGTTTGTATGGAAGTGGAAAGGAGGTGTTTTCTCGCTACCTGGATTTAAAAAATACTGAACTGAGAAGAGACACCAACAAGAGGAAGAGAAGTGAGTCGTTCGGAAGGAACAAGGAGATGGAGCAGCTCATTAGAGAGACGGATGAGGAGCTCATTCAGATGAACAAAATTTCCACTGCCTGTCAGAAGAGGTATGAGGAGGACGCCATAAACTACTACGCACTGAATGTGAGTAGGAACGATCAGAAGATCTTCTTCACCCCGACGTACAAGGATAGGATCTGCATAAGGGGGGTCAACCCACCGGTGCACTATGCTGACGGTAGCTACATAAGGCACGACTCGGATGGGGAACAAGTTGGAGATGGAGAAGAAGTTAGAAATCACGAAGTTACTGCACGTGGCGAACTTGCTGGACCAGACTCACTCCGAGGTGTAGGGGAGGGCCCCCCCAAGGCCGGACACAGCCAGCAGGCCCAGCCCCCCAGGGGGGATAGCCCCTGCAGCACGCTGCGCAGTGTGGGGAGTGGCCAGGAAAGCACATACAGCACGCTACGAAGTGTAGGAAGCGGGGAAAGCGGCCAACGCGGTGATTACCCCACAGAGGGGCAGCGTCCCCCAAAGGGGAAACCCGTATGGAAACCCATAACGCACTCCGCATCGCAACCTGCATGCCCCCCGTCGTGGAAGTCGCCATCCCGTCACACACCCACCCCACTCGCCGACGGAAAGCTGAAGAGACTGAAAAGCGGAGGATACATCTGGTTCGTCGAAAATCAAAGGCAACGAAAAAACGTCAGTATAGAAATGTTATACCTATGTAAAAATATAATCGAGAAGGAGGAAAAGAAGGCACGAAAAAATATCATATGCTTAATGAATCAGCTCAACGTGGAGCATTTCTCTCTTTTCAACTACGGACTCAGCACTCCCTTCTTGTGGCTTCTACTACTCATAAGGTGCGACAAACTAAAGACGGTGTCTATACTGGATCTATGCCTATCCCACCTTCTCTCCGCCTTGGCCTTTTTAGAGGCATACCTCAAGCAACATCTTTTTAATTTCCAAGGCATGATGAGAAGACGCAGAAAGAGACTTGGTAGCATATACTTTCGATTTAACGATGAGGAGGATATTCATTTTGTAAATACAATGTATAGCCGTATTATTAACGAGTTAAATTTGTCTGACTTTGCTCCGAGAAAGAATCGAGTGCTGCACATCGTCATATATGTCTACAATAATAAGAAGGAAAACAAACAGCTGGTAAAATATATTCGTAAAATATCTCGGTCCCTGTGGCGGTGCAATTACGTAGTGCACTACTCCATTCAATATTATAAATACAAATACTTCAATCGGTACTTGGATATCGACAACTTGTATCGGGATTACGTCGTGAACGTTCTGCTCACTCATCACAAGCTCAACCAGCGGCTAATTGCGCGCCGTGCGCTCCTCCCCCGCGAGGACCGCCCATAGCAAGTAGCGCCCTCAGTAGCGGCTTTTACAGGAGAGCCCTCCTCAGTAATGCCCCCCTCAGTAATGCCCTCCTCAGTAGCGCCCTCCTCAGTAGCACCCTTTGCAGTGGTGTGCCCCCCATCGGAGGAGAGCTGCTAACCCGGGAGACGCATCATTCTTATCCTCCTCTGTGTAGAGATTGGAGCAGGAGCAGCCTTCGGGGGCCTTCCTGCTGCCCCGTTTCCATCACCACTCTTATCCGTTTGATCATCCCCCCCACGCGAGGGGCATATCTCTTTATGTATACATTCGGTCGCCCAAGGCAGCCTCAGCCCGCAGCAGGGGTGTGGATTTGGCGTGGGTTCCGCGTGGCTCTTGGCCTGCCCCTCATATTATTCTCTTTCGATATTTTCTTTTCACCTTCTTTTTTTTTTTTTCATTCCCGTGAAGTTTTTAATCTCCCCATCCGCATTGCTTTCTTTTTTTTTTCTTTTTTTTCGGTTTACAGACACATCCCCCCCTTTTGAATTATTCATATTTTTTTATCGTTTCTTTTTTTGTTCTATTTTTAACGCCATTGAGAAAAGGACAGACGGGGGGGAGGGGAAACACGAAGGAGTATTCATATGCATACCGTCTATACACTTATGAGTTACCTCCGTGCGTGTATGGCGTGATATTGCTCACCGTAGTTGTGCGGGTATTTTTTTTTTTTTTTTCGTTTGCTCCACATACAAATGGTGTTCTTTGCGGCGCCGTGATCACCCATCCCTTCCTGCGCCTTCTTCCTCCCGTTGCATGTCACTCATTACATCCCTTTTTTTTTTCTTTTTAAATTTGAAACCTCTCCAAGTAGCGCAATCTCTCCACAGCAACGCATGTGTGAAGAAGGACGCTGCTTGTTTTCTGTTTGGCCAAGCATGCAGGTTGGAAGCTTCAAAGTAGATAATTATACGTTTACACGTGTATGTTTTGCTGGACCCCTCGCAACAATCCGTTAACTTCCATTGGGGATAACTTTTACAACAATGGGAAACAAGTTGGGACTAAAGGAATACCGCTTCAACGGTGGATGGCCGCATCGGGTTGGTCTGGGAACGTCATTTTGTGCCGGCCGAGCGGAAGGGGCGCAAAGTTGAATGGCCTTTCGGTGAGTACGCTGTGTCGGACAGGATTGGAAGTGACTTCTACGTTATGCGACCCTTGGGGAAATGGCACCCCTCCCTTTTGCTTTTAACCGTTACTTTGTCGTTTACCTTTTGTTTAATTTGATTTTTTTTTTTTTTTTTTCTCGCCACGCGAAGGGGGGAACGTTTTTTTCCCGCTCCCTCGAGTTGCAAAAAAAAAAAAAAAGCGATTCGTTTTTTTTTTTTTTCCCTTTTTACGTTTAAGCGGCGAAGGGGAAATTTCAAACTTGACGGAGGTAGCAAAGGAGGGGCACTTCCTGCCCTCGTCAGTAGGCGGTATATACGTATATATATGCATTTGGATATCCACGTCCATATCCGCGTGAATATCCACGCATAACTTTTCTTCCTTCTTTTACGATCACGCGGCCGCTCCCGTCCGCTCCCATCCGCGCAGCGAGGGAGGATTATTTACGGCTAGTTTCCTTCTCGAGCGGGATGCCAGCGCTCGGCATGTCCCCCATTTCGAAGCCATAGCGGCGATGCCGTGACGTCTGGGTGGCGAAAAAAATGCCTAGTTGGTTCGCAGCGTAGAGGTACATGCGAGTTAGTGCCTCGTTTGGCGGTCACGTCGCGGTCACGTAGATGCCACATCGCAGCCACGTGACTTCCACGCCCATGACACTGCACCTCTTCACCCCCCTCCTCACACCGCCATGCTGTCGCTGAAGGCGTCCAGGGCGGACAACTTCTACTACGGTAGTGTAGAGGACGAGCGAATCAAGAAGAAACAGGAGGAGAAAAAAAGAAAAAAAAACAAAAAGGATTACAGCGAAATCAAATTTGAAGTGCCATACACCATTATATGTACCAAATGCAAAGCGTATGTTTACAAAGGGGAGAGATTTAACAGTCAGAGAAGACAAGTGGGCTTCTACTTGAGTACCCCATTTTATTCCTTCTCATTTACGTGCAAGAAATGCCATAATGAAATTGCCTTTGAAACAAATCCGAAGGATTGCTCGTACGATATCATCCAGGGGGCCAGAAAAAAAAACGAGCAGTTCGAAAATGTCCTAACAGAACAGGGACGCAATAATGTTAATTCCATCGACTTTGAAAAAAATAAGAAAAAAAAAATCAACCCTTTTCTGCTGTTAGAAGTTGAGGCCCTCCGAAGGAAGGGGCGCCACGGTGAACAGGATACCCAGTGGAGTCGTGAGGAAGCCACAGACAGGGGTGAAAAAGTCACAGACGGGGGTCAGGAAGCCACACACGGGGGGAGAAAACCAGCTACTTCAGACGCACACGAGGAACTTCCCAGCGATCACTCCTCCGGAGGGGAACTGCCCCATGAGGATCGCTCGAATGAGGAGGAGGAGGAGGAGGAGGAGGACGACTCCCCAAGTGAAGAACACATGAATGACGTTATCAAACAAAACTACCGACGAAACCATATGATGAAAAATGACTTCTCTTGCAACAGCAATCTGAGGAAGCAGTTGAGGGAGATGAAGAGGGAGAAAATTCAGCAACTTGAAGAGCGCAAGCGGAAAAATATTTTTATAGATATTGTGGAAGGGGGGGACCCCCTGGAGGAGCTGCTCGTAAAGAGGTATGTGCGGTTTGGGGAGAAATTCAGGAGGGGCAGAGGCGCCCAGGGAGAAGGCACCCAGGGAAAGGCCACCCAGGCAGAAGGCACCAAAGCGGGAGGCGCCAAAGCAGGAGGCGTCCGCCCCAGTGGTCACCGCAGTAAGGACCGCTCAGGGTATGACCCCCCGATTAAACGCAAACTTGCAAAGAATAACTTAATAAAAAAAAAAAAGAGTAGCATATTTGACAAGAAGTACCTCAAAAAGGGGAGGTAAGCGGGGCGGAGGTGCATGTCTATTCTGAAGACGTGCCGACCAGGGGATGCCATTCGTTGTGACTGGAGGAGAGGGAACCCCAGCGGTGTGCCTGCCTATGGCGTTGATAAAATGCAGTCTACTTCCCTGCGTCGTTATGTGAATCCCTTTCAAATGAAGGATCGTTGGATAAGTTTTCTTTTCTTTTTTCTTGAACACACGTACAACAGTTGACTATCGTGGTTTTTCCAGATGGAGGTGGAAGACACAAAGTTGTTGTTTTTATCTTCGTAAAAACAGAAAATAATATGTGATGCTGAAGAGGAGGATGGCGGATGCCACAAGGGGGTAGTTTATTTTTTCTTCCTCTGGGGGCTGCAAGGGGGGGGTAGTGCAGTTATATGGAGTTATATGCAGTTATAGTGTATCTATAGTGCAGCTATAGTGCAGTGTAGTAATGTACGCACTGGGAAGCTTTGGGGGCAGTCTGGGGACTCCTTCCTGGCATTTGCTAACCACCCGCCTGCCAACCGTCTGCACCTCTTTTTGTGTGATTTGCCGATCAAGCGCACAC